GCATGGAAAACAAAACAAAACAAAAAAGGAGGAGAAAAACCGAGGAGAAAACTAAGTTATTAGCACCAACTGGGCTCTGGCGATGGGCGTTCTGGTTGCTGTGGGCGTGGTCGCTGCACTTGTACTTTATGTTTACTGCATTCTGTGTGCGAACGTGCGGCAACAATTTTTGGGCTACCATCCTTGCCATTGTCGTCATCCTGGCTTCCAATTCACGCTCTGTTGACAGTGTCAGTGGGGATGGTAAAAATTTCAATGCGATTTTTATATAAGTGGTTCCAAACAACTGTTCTCCCCTTGCTTGGTATTCTCAATGTTTCCAATAATAGAGCATTTAATATACTCAAAAACAAGAATAAATACCCTTTTGGTATTAAAGACAAGCTCTATATACGAACGACCATATTTAATTTAAACAATAAAACTAGTAAAGAGACTTCGAGCCACAGAACAAGTTTTAAAACAACAATATATTTAAAATAATTTTAATATTTTTGAAATAATAGTTCATCTCTAACATGTTATAGATATAGGGACATTTCTGAATTTGTTTTCCTTGCAGCTTCACCTCCTTCCGCATGCGTAAATTCTATTATTGTTGCACTTTGTGGCAAAATATATTTGCGGCTGGTGGTATTAGCATTTTATTTCATTTGAACAAATGTTCTTTCGTATTTATTTTGGACAAGTTTACCCAATTGTGTATCTGTTTGTCCACAACTCGTTACGGGCAATTTCCAATGTTAGTCCCAGCCATTGGCATGGGATCCTTGGATATTGCCTTTGTTGGCGCCTTTGTAAACAGACTCGACTTGGCTGCCCGATGAGGTGAGAGTTGGGGCTGGGTGTCTGGGCATTTTGGCAGGGCCGTGTCTTGGCACGCCAGTACCTGTTCATACACACCCCCTGTGACTTGGCCGGGCCTAATAAAAATAAATAGCCATATAAAAGCGAAGCGAAATTCATGGCAACGCCTGGCGATACAATAAAGCATATTATTTCAACATTTATTTCCCCGCTGCCATCTTGGCAGCCATTTGGCAGTGTTAAAGTGTTTTCCCACTCGGAATGTTGGCACCACTCCGCCGGCTAATGAGTGCAAGAGCTACGTGATTTACTCGGATCCCAGTCACTCAGGATGCATCTCAAAGGGCGTTTGTTTCCAGCTCATTAGAGTTCCGCTGCCTGCGAGTCCCCATTACCTCCTTCAGATAATTCCTCACTGGGGAGAGTGACTCTTTGCAACACAAATGCTTACTTTTGCCTGATACTGCTCAAGTGCTGGGCAAAGTCCTTGTCGGTTATTTACTCTGCAGGAGCACTTTACTCGAGTCGAATGCATCCGGCTGTGATGAATCGAAATGTATTGATTTATGGCTGCAACTGAGCGAGTGGCTGGCAAGTCCAAGGTGGAGATACCGGCGGAAAGTTTGTCCTGGAGCCTGGATCCTGCGACTGTGGCCAGCCGAAAGTTCAATCAAGTAAACTGGCTGTGGCTGGAGTTCGGTCATTGATAAGTCATAAGTTGCCGCCCGTCGCACAAGTGCGCCCAAGTTGCGTCACAAAGTTTGTCAAAGTCAAACACAAAGTTTCCCGCTGGCCGGCAAATGTCAATGGCTTAGATTTTAGCAGTGCATTAGTTGCCAGTGCATTATTAATGACCAGCTGCGCATTGATTTTTACACTTGCTCGTTTGACAGCTCCATTTTTCCCTTTGTTCTTCTTCGTTTATCGCTCCATCAATATTAATTAAGGTAAATGAAAGGATGAGCACGAACAGGCTTTTCGGTGTGGAATCGAACAACATATCCACTTAGAAAAATGTCAATAAGTTTTCGTTTGCCATAAGTAAATAGTTAATATTTAATGGCACTTTTGTACGTATTTTTCAAAGTTGTTTCTGTAATCTTTTGAATCTTCTTCAAGACAACAAAGCCATAAGAATTTTAGTTGTCTTGCTAATAAAGAAAAAGCATTTCGAACATTTTCTTTAATAAATGTCTTTCTTTATTTTTCCACCACATTTATTAATATTTTTACTATTAAACCCATCTTATAAAAACCTTTAATGCAAAAATTGGAATTTTTAAAGTTTTAGAACATATATAGCAATTTCATTATTTATTAGTTTTCAAATGTTATATCCCTTGTATTTTCTGAGTGCTTCCAGCCATTCGCCCGCCTCTTTGTTAACCCAGATATTGATAACTTTTAACATTAACTGTGCCGCGTGACCCCGTGACCTGTTGCATGTTCGTCCGTGCAGTTAATTACTTTGATTTATTTGAGAGTTATACACATGCGTGGTTCGCCTGTCACATATTTCAAATCGCGCTTAATTACAGCGCCGTGTACTTACAAATTAACGAAATTGCCGGCCCTCAGATAAGCCCACCCACTCGGCGTTAAATTTATTACAAATTTCAACTTAGTTGCCACCGAGCAATTCACCTGCCACTCGAGACTGAGCCAGTGGATTTATTGTTTTGTTAGACCAAAAATTACGGCGATAAAAACCTACAAAGTGCTTAAGTGCGACATTCGCCAAGTATACGGCGAAAAGCAGACATGGGACGAAACTGGCATCGATAAAAATCGATAAGCATCGGCAATAAATTGCCAACCAGAATTCAAATAAAACCAAATGCCGGCTAATCTCCATTAGGCAAATACGTTGAGCTTACCAAAATGTTGTGACCCATTTTGGGACCAACTCTGGTTATTGTTGCTGTTATCTGGAGGAGTTGGGGGGTTGGATGTGGAGTGTGCGGGGTGAAAAGGTCACTCTAAGTGCTTTTCATTGAGCAGTGAACTGCGAACGGAAACGGGCATAAACTTAATGGAATTTAGATTTCTTCATTACAGCAACAGGTGAAAGGAGCATCAAAACGTGGCCTTTTAGCCCGAGTTGATTACCTGCTCACATGAAAGAGATTCCAGATTTGGGTCGCTTAATATTTGGGTTCATTTTCATGGGATTATAAAGAGCTTTTGGCCCCGGGGCTAAATGTTCGAGCACAACATCAATGGCAAATTGATTTGCTCTTGATAATTCGAAAAGGTAAACAGGATTAGCCTACATTTGTGGATAATTGCCCGGGGGCCAAGGCTATGTTGACCTCCTCCCTCAATCTCTTGGGGAAGCATATAGCACACATATAGCAAGTTGTTTGACCCGCGGGGAATTGATTGGAATGCACTGGAGCACGTGTCGTAAAAGTGCGCAGGCACTGTACAACATGAATAAATGGGAACGTATGCGTCCGTGCTTATTATTTACATTCGGCTACGACATTGTCGCAGGATTTCGATGGCCAACAGTGTGAGTGGTCGTGGCCCAGTCGATATGCTCGCATGTATATTGTACATGGGCACACAATCAAGGAGTTTCGTCCTTTGGTCCCGGCCAAGTTTTATGCTGAGTAATGGCCGGCCATAGCCATCGCAATGCTGCTGCGAGTGGCCGTAAAGAATCGCATTCGCAATCGTACTCGCACTCGTAGTTTACATAACGGTTTTACGGCCAGCACTTAAATGCCATACGAGTCATAAATGGAGGGGAGATATCAAGCATACGCCATGTTCGCCATGCTCGGTAACCAATCCTTTTGGCCCGATTGATATCCCTGCAGTAGCTGCTGCGAGTTCATTGAACCTTTTTTGGCAATGATCGCTGACGCTGCCACTGCTGCCACTAGTACTGATGTTAATGATGATGCTTGCTGGATGCCACATTGTAGTCCCTACATATATGAACCCGGACATATGCAAGTTCCGGGCAGAACATGAACAACATCCGCCGAACAGCTTCCGTCTCGAATGTTTACGCTCGGCTTCAGTCGCAGAAGTTCGTTATTAGAAAAGTTTTAATGTGCCTCCCAAACGCACAACAACACAGAAAACACTACAAAAAAAATCTTGCCTTAAGTTGCAGGGGACAACTAACTTCGAATGGAGCTTAAGAATTTATGGCTTTAAGCTTAGGAATTTACTTGTAACTAATTTATGGGACAAATTAAAATTAGAGCTATCTGGCTTATTTTCTTTAAATTTGAGAATAACAAAAAAAATAGTTTTTACTTATTCATTTTTAATAGAATTAAATGTAATCTTGTTAAGAACGGCACAATTCTGATTTATTTTTTGTAGTGCCAACATGGATATACTTTTGGCATTATTTGGCCTGAAGTTGGACAGATTTCACCGCTCAGCCACAAATATGAGCCTGACAAACGACTGGCAATGATCTGCTGTTGGCACTTAATAAGCTCCATTTGAGCCAGCCGCAAAAGTGAGGCGACCTTCGGTTTGTTGGCTTTTAATTTGCCATCGAATGCTCTCGCCCGAGTGAGCAGGAAAGTTTGATGCTGCCTGGGAGACGTCATCATCATCGGACTGGGCCGAAATTTACATAACTGAAAAAATATTGTGCGGGCGGGCCTAAACGAGGCACAAACGCTGCCCTGCGGCTTTCCACTGGCTGCCCTGCTTACAAGCATTTTTAAAGCGGTTTCCCTCATATTTTTCCCCTGGCTTTTTGGAAGCGAAAACAGATGTAAAACTTCTGCCAAAGAAAAAATGCCAGGGCAAAAAAAAAAAAGTAAAACAAAAATATGAATAAGCCGTGCATAAGGCAGCCTTCTAGGCAAATGTGTTTAACATGGGGTAGCTGAGTTTTTCCACTCTTTGGCTCTTTGGTCGGGGACAGAAAAAATAACATTGGCCAGAAAGTTAAAAGGTGGCCCTGGGCCACATACGACACATGGCCGGAACATAAACGTGGCCCTGGGCCCACGTGGCGGCCATAACCGGTGCCGACTTCATCGATATTTCATTTAACCCTTTAATAAAAGATATGGCAGGCGAACTTACTTCATAACTTGTCGCTGCCTTTCGATTTTCCCAGGCGGCCAAAAAGTTTCTGGGGAAGTTTAGAGAGCCTCCAAATTTAGCCGCTGGCAAATTAAAATTGATTACCAAAGCAAGACAATTGAACGATATTTTTTGGTGGCAATGTAGTGGAGGGGTTGGGACTCAATCCGAATGTTTATTTATACCAGGCAGTTTGGTTTCGATTGGGGCCTATTTGCATAAGCGACCGACCAACTTATTATACAATTTAATATGGAAATGGCGAAGCGTGAACTTGAACCTTATGTTCTATCGCAGCTCAGCTGGTTTTCAGCTTGGTCTCCAACGATTTTCGCTGCTTGCGCACATAGGCCTTGTAATAGAAATCGAAGAACATGGAGAACATGAAGATGTTCTGGATGAAGCCGATGAAGGCAATGAAAACGGGGAACTGGCAGGGATTCCGGACGATTACCAGCAGGAAATGAAAGGTGAGGTAGCCGAATTGCAGCAGCTGCAGTTGCGTAATCCGCTGCTTCCACCACAGCAGGTTCTTCACGGCGCCCAAGGAAGCGGCAAAGTAGTAGGCATACATTACAGTGTGCACCAGAAGATTGATAACGCCGAGCATCGTACAGTGGGACCCGCCTAGGAAGGTCATGAAGATGGACACCCCGAAGACCATGCCGCCGTGGTGATAAACATGCAGGAAGCTCACCTGCGAATTCTTCTTGCGCAGCACTATGAAAACCTGGGGGAGTACGTTGAACGTTGAGATGAAAGACCAATTTATATATCGACACCGCCAACTAACCGTATCAAGTAGATCCAGGTACTTGAGCATATAGTAGGCATAAGATGCGTATAGCGTCCTCATCATTGCCGGCGAGGTGTCTATGTGATCCACTGGCTGGCAGGTCCAACTGTATCCCGGTTGCAGATAGGTGTTGGTCAGGCCAATGAAGAATATGGTCGCATTGGCCAGCACCTGCACCACATTGTACACCTGCATCACCCGCTTCAGCTCGAAGGGAGCACGGTGCTCCATCCACCGTGGTCCATAGTGGAGCACAAAGGCCACGTACAGAGCCACGATGGCCAGCACGATCCATAGGTTGCCCAGGAGCGGTAGATGCGCCACCCGGGGATCCCCGTGCTCGGCGTACAGATCCCGCACCAGGCAGTACAAGTGCGCCACCATGTTGTGCCTCATCCTGATCTCGATTCTGGATTACTCCTTGCCGAAATTCCGGAAAGCGATTTGCAACCCACGAAGGTCTTCAGTCTTCTGAACGTAATCGCTCGAATCGCTGCCATTCCGGCTTGGGCTGGCTATGTTAATGACCGATAAATGAGAAGCACCACGCACGCCGCATTAACCCGAGTCAGGCGTTGCACTGCCGGAGAGATTCGCGTTCATTGTCGCCGGTTTACAAACTTCGAACAGCTTAAGTTTAACGCTCAAAGAACACTGAGGAAAATCAGTGGTTCTGAAACTATTTTAATGAAAAATTACTGGGCAGAAGGGAATATTGAATATTTTAACAATAGCACTGGCTAATTACTTACATACCTAAAGGAATATATTGATCATTCGAATCTCCAAGCATGAATGCACAAATTTAAGAATATCTGCACTCAAAAAACATTGACTAAATTAAGCAACATTTTTTTTTTCTTTATCTCTATGAACTGCTGCCTGTCGGGGGTAAACAGGGTTTAGCTATTACTTGACAATGTATGAGAATTTATGGGCTATAACCAGCCGGTACGGAAACTTTTCTGAGTGGAAAAAAATGATGTTCCATCTGTGGCCAATGCGGGCGGTGGGTGGTGACATCAATTTGGGTTACTCAACGTTAATCGTTTGGCTCGCAGCTTGCGGCTGCGAGATATATGCAACTAACCCAGTTTACAAAGCATGCCAATAAATTTGCAGCATAACTGCCAATATAAGCGCAACTGTTTTGAAATTAAGCCAAAAGAGAGAGAAAGAGGAAAAAAGGGCGGAAACGTCAGCTGCAGCATCTAGTATCCGGCATCCAGAATGCAGCACATAGCACCCAGCACCCAGCACCCAGAACTCAGCATCCAACATCCAACATCCAGTGACCCACTGAGCGACTCCGCCATGCTTGATAAATTCGCCAAGTCTGTACAATGGCTGTAAATAGCCGCGGGCATCGGACAAATGGCTCTTAAAAACAACAGCAGGAGCGGCTGGAGGGGAAAGGTTGCTGGTAGGAAAGCCAACTCAGCGAAATAGGCAAAAGTGTTTTACGACCTGGCTTCAAGCGAAAACTGAGCGACCTGATGCAAAGGAGCGGACTGCAGGTGGCCTATCAAACTGAAGCGCAGGTTGCAATTTGTTTGCGCAACGTGCAAACTTGGCTAGCATTTTGTGGTCGAAAGTTTGCACTTTGCAGGCGGGGCTAACAGGCTACATTTTATTTCGATAAGTAAATGTGGCAATTTATTGGGCAGAATCAATCAAGGATCTGTTCGTAAAGTTCGCCTTATTGGCCATTAAACAACGGCAGGTGGACTAAGTCAGGCGAGGCCATTTCACTTACTTTCACTCGTGTCCTTAAGCCGCAATTGATGTGTGTGTGCCATGCATGTCCTTGGAGTTCCTGCGGTGACCTTGTTGTGCGGCAGACATTGAGCCAGCCAACGCCAAAACAATCATTTGCATTTCGCCTCCCCACGGACAATGTAATGGACGTCAGCTCATTTGCACAAATAAGCCATAACCGTCGCACGTGGCTCCCCCGCCGATTGGTGGCCATTTTCGGAACTTCGGGACTTCACGCAGGACCAAGAACTGAAATGTCCGTCCAAGGAGCCAGTGCTGTTGCAATAACGGTAATGGCCGCGGTAACGACAACAGCAAACAACAGAAATAATAATGATAATCATTTTGCGCGCACCGGAAGTATGCAAATATACGACACGAAGGACCCAAGGCGAAAGATGCGGATGTGCGGATACACGGCTGTTTGGATTTACCCGGCCAAAGGAAAGGAATGAAACTGATGCAAAAACAAAAGCAAAAACCCTGGCCTTAACAGGTCGCCCTGAAAATTAAAAGTCCGCCACGAATGAAGCGTTAATGACGACGAGTAAGTAAACAGTTTTCGGGGCGACAGCATAAATATGAAAATGAGTCTTCGCCACGCCCCCTTATGTCTCTGCTTAATATTATATATAGCTTTCTGTGTCGTTGGCCATGGCATGAAATGAAAATAATAATCTCTTTGGCCAGGAAATGAAGGGAAATTCAACAGGAAACTTTTGTGACGTGCCGCAAACAGTCCGTGCAAACACACTCGTCGACTGGAAGTGTGTGTTTGTATTTAAATTGAAAGGTCCAACACAAACACAGGCCGACCAACACTCATGCAGGTGTTAAACTGCGCCGCGTCTCTTTGTGCGAGTTGCCAATGCAAATTACAGTCATTTGGCCTGATATTTTTTCACCCCGACTTCCTCGGGAATTTTATTTAAAAATGTTGAAAAATATATATGTTTTCGGCGGATGCGAAAATGCTCGCTTATTTTTTCCGCCAGTTGCTGTGCCCAGTGTCAATGGCATTGTTGCTTGGCACGCACTAGCACTGAAAAAAAAACTATATGAATGTTTGATGAAAAAACACGTTTAAAAATATATATTTAAAAGTTCCCAACGATAATATGTATTTTTAATAGCAAAGACACGTAGAGCGCTGGTGCACTTTTTTCTTGAAATAATAAATTTAAGAATATCTTCTTTAAAAAGTACTATTTCAGCTTTTTTTAATCAATTTATTTAAAGAAGACAAAATGTTAACTAAAATTTTTAAATAGTAAACTAATTTTAGAGTGACTAAATTGTTTTATCAAAGTGGTTAAGCCTATAAATAATTTTAAAAAATGTGAAAAAAAAATCAAAACATTTTAATAATTAATTGTTAATCGTTTTTTTTTCTTCCTGTGCACCCTCCAGTGGCTCACCTGTTTTGATCGCCGCGAACTCTCCACAGGAATAGCAATAAAACTTTATGCGCACCCATTATGCGCCCCACCGCCCAAAACATTGCACCTCCGAGGACTGTCATTAGTATAGAGTGCATAATTTTCGGGAGAGCCGACAATCTGTGCATGGGAGGCCGTAATTATCGCCCTTCAAATGTATGGGCGATAATGGCTTGATTTCCAGCTCGGCAAAAGAAGGTAAATGGGTATTAATTATTATGATTATGGCCGGACCGAAGACACTCCCTATCGGCGTGGGGATTGCCGTCGCCATGGCACATGGCACATGGAACATGGGGCATTCTTGGAAGCTCACTCCGACTCCTCCTTCTATTTGGCAGCGACTCGTTCAAGCGGAATTTGGCAAATGCCGAAAACTTCAAGGGTATTATATAAATGTTGGCCCTGGCCATGTCTTCTAAGCATATTTTGAATGCCAAGCAAATCCACAACGTGCCGCTCCACTCCACATTTGCCCCATGCTTTAGCCATGAAAGTCACTTCCAAAGTTCAAGTCAATGTCGCAAAATGTTAACGGCGCGTTAATAATGCGATTAGTGGATGCTACAGACCCATTCCGATCCACCGACCCAGCTACCAGCTCCTTGGCACCCCCAACTTCCTATTTGAACCCAAAACCAGCATGTATCCCCTCTGGAGGACGGAAAACACATTTGAATGCGACCGCCCATCTGAAGGAACATGGCAAAATTGGCTTTAATTGGTGAAATGCGGGAGGAGGAGGGAGCTTCGGGGCCACAGAACATGAGTGCGGTACCGCCCCCAGTACTTCCCGCTCTGGTGCTAATTAATAAATTTCTTGGGGATTTCTCGCTGCGTCTTTTTCGGGTTGGCTGCCATAATTATCGCATGGCAATCGCCCAGGGGACACAGCGTGCAAATGTCTATGCTAATACTCGAATATATATATATATATATATATATATTTATAAAGCTTAGAGCTCCTATATGATCCTGCTCGTAAGCATGGCGAAATCCCCGTTAAGTGAAGCCTTCAATTACATTCGTCGGTGTGGCACTGTCGGCGTCAATCCCCTGGTAATAGGATATTTTCAATTTCCATTTGCCCGCTCGTATATTTTGCAGTTTCGTATTTGTTTTAAGTTATGCGCCTCAGGCTCTCCAGGGGAATCGTTCATTTTTTTCTTCCCATTCCATTTGAACGTATTTCATTGATACGCTGGCTTCAGAGGAGCGGTGAAAACATGACAGGCTACATTCGTATATATATTATATGCATGGAGGCATGTACATCTGGCAGAGGGCCTAGCTGGAATATTGTCAACCCGGCGAGTAGAGCTGGCACGGGTCGTCCTGGTCACGTAATTGAGCCCTACACCACGGGGGCCGGCGAATTGAGCCGGGCCGCTTTCTGGGCAATAGAAAATGAATTGTATGCACGGAAATATGACAAACAATCAAGCAGAATTCGGAAAAAACCGCAACACAAACCAACAATAGCGCCAGCTGAGCCAGAGATTTGTTTCCCCAGTTGCCGGAGGGATGGGTATGGATGGAGCACGGCACTACGAGTTAATGGAAACGAAGGCTCGGTCGGCGAGAGGCTGGAAAAATCCTGGACGCCTGGCGCAAACGACAACGACTACAGCGACGCCGTCTGATGGAAATTTATTGCTGGTAACATACCCAAAGGGATTCGCAAATATAATACTACAGTCAGAGCAGTAGTAACAATCCACTGAGAAAATAGTTTAAAAATACCATTCAAGATTTATAGTAAGTACCGTCAAAGAAAAATATGATCAACATAGATTTCACATCTTTTTTGAAGCTAAGCATACAATTTAAAAAATTATCAGAATTGATTTTAAAATGGATACAACAAAATATTGATGGAATATAACAAATATGAAGTGTTATTTAAATCTCATCAATAGTTTAGAAACTTATGTTTTATTTATTACAAAATATTTCTTTATGCGATGACGGAAAGCTTTTCCAGATTTCCCTTATATATTTCGAACAATGAATTTTTTGCAGTGCTGGATGAGTAAATGGAGGCGAGGACTGCATACAAACACGTTCTCCATGTTAGGCCGTTTGCCAGCCCCAATCTCGATCCCCCCAGCTTCGACCCGCCACCGCTGTGCTAACATCGCTCAGAGTATGCGGAATAGAGCCAGCGAATTGGCGGGCGGGAAAACTAACCCCATGAACAATTTCCCAAAAGCATCTGCAAAAACATACAAAATGCGGTTTTAGCCGCTGAGAGGAAATCTGTAAAGGGAGCGGCGGTGGTGGTGGGGGCGTAAAAATCTGTTGAAAAAATATATGACAGCCAGAACATGTTGCCAACTTTCCCCTTTCCCTTTCCCTACCACATCCCTCTTCCCACGGCCTTGCCACCCAATCGCCAACAAGCAAAGCTGCTGTGCTGAGCCAAAAGTGAGCTGCAAGCACGCACTATGCATATTTTGTTATGAAAATTTAAGTGAAATCACTAAAAATGCCAAACAAAACAGCAAGATATGCAAAAATGCAGCGTTAGTGGGAGTGGCGTTAGTCGGTGGGCGGAAAAGCCCTCGAGGCGGAAAACAGCTGTTGTTTGTGTTTGCTGCTGTCTGCTGATGATGCTCGGCTGTCGCTTCTGCTGCTCCCGCAGTCTTATGAAAAATTGTTGTCAGTTTATAAAATGGTAGCTGGATGTGAGCCACTGCGCATCCTTCAAGTGCATCACGTGCACCAGATTCTCAAACAGGCAACTGATGCCAGAAAATCGAGGCGGACACGAGGGTAGCTGGCTCACGAAAATGGGTCAAAGCTGAAAGTTTTGGCCAGCGGGCGGAGGTGGATCGTTGCTCGCTTGCAGTTTATGGCTCGTGTTACTCAATAAACATTTGTCAAGGCGATGCAACCTTCGCACCCATCCGCCCACCTTCGACCACCACCCCACTTCGAATGTCCCGCCAATTTGCTGCTATCAGAGCCAGCAGCATCACATTTTCCTTTTCCTTTCCCTTTTTCGTTTCCTTTGCGAACTCGGCTCCCTTTTCAGTGCGTTCCAATGTCAATTGTTACGTTTTATTGCCTCGTTCTTTGCATTGACTACACGCAAAAAAAGTTTGCAATCTAAAAAAGATTATTGAGTTTACTCCCATAAACTTCTTGTTATTTTATTTTAAGACTATTTAGTTGGATAAGTTATAAATTTAACCTTAGTGGTGACTTAATAGATGTTAATTGAATTAATTAAAATTTGATTACGCATAAAAAAGTGAACATTTTATGCGGAAAATGGTAGTTTAATATTTTTCTTGAGGTGTTGAGGTTTAAAATGTTATGTTCTTTATTTAATTTAAAATTTACAAAACTTATAATTTTTCAAGCCAACAAAATATATTATAGCCTTTCAAGCTAAAATTTTCAATCAGAGATAAATACAGAATATAATTTTATAATTAAACATATATTTTTTTGCCTGTATAAACTCATACATAAGGACTGGGCTAACGCTAAAGGTAACTGGCGCACGAAGAAATTTATGATCAGTGACAAAAGCACATTCTCACCTTTGATATAGCTTTACTGCCTTTGCCCCTTTTTCCACTCTATATTGCAGATGTTGCTGGGATAAGAACAGGTCTGTCTTTGGTTTGTTCTGTTTTATTGTGCCCGCCCTTTTGTAGCTCTGCGTGTGTGGGTGTGGGTGTTGTGTGTAGCCCACTCTTTTTCAAAAACCCACTCTAAGCCCCGCCCACCTTGGAAAAGTCCGAAACCCGGGAGCTCACGGTACCACGCATCGATGGCTCTTTTATGCGCTCCGCAGTTTTTCGTTTATTTTTCACATTTTTTTTGCGGCCCTCAGCCCCGTTTTTTGCACAGTGTTTGCCTTCGGATTTTTGCGATAATGGAGACAAATGTTGTGCTCTTAAATTTATCGATTGGTTGGCAAAAGTTACCAAAGGAAAATATAGCCCTGGATGGCGAATTTGTTTTTATGGGTGCGCTCGTTCGGCTGCCCCTTCGTTCGTTGCGTATACGCCCCGTGCTCGCCATTTCGTTTAGCTTTAAAGTTCGGCTGGTGGCGCACCTGAGTTTTCAATTTATATCATGTTTTTCATGGCCTAATAGAAGAAAAGCAAAGTGGCAGACAATAGACTTGGAGTCCCAGATAAACTTCCGCCGAGATAAGCCAACTATTTGTGCAGAATTTTCGTCTGTTTACCCCAGTTCCACTTTTTTCCTGATTTTTCTTTTTGTGTGGCAGAAGAAACTTTGCAATTGAAAGTTCGGCGTTTAAATTTAGAGAGAAATTCTGCTTAAGTATCAGCGGCCATAACGAGTTATTAACTGTAGTTTGGGGCTTGCCAAGCGGCTTAGTGGGCGGCAAAACATGCTCCTGGCTTCACGCAGTGTCTCAGCTGACCACTCCACAAATGACCTCGGTCTCGGTAAGCTTTTACTCTATTTTTTCGCGCTTCTCGCCAGCGGCTTCAGCATTAAACACCACAACGTGCTCGAGGACCCCGGCGCCTGGATTTATGCAGCGTTACATTGGCATTAAAATAGCAAAAGGGGATTACGAGGGAAGTGAGAGACTACTCTCGTATTTTATTATATTTTTTACATTATTTTTTTGTTCCCGCCAGCACTTTTTGCCCCGACTATTATTGCCCCACGCTCGCTCTCTCTATTATGTAAAAACATAAATGCAACTTGCGTTGAGTGCTGTACGAAATAAAAAGCGATAACTGCGAAGCGATGTAGAAATAAATACACAGGAAACAATACTTTATAAAATAAATGAATGCGGTTACATGGCGTAACGTCCCAAAAATATACCTAATGAAACTCAAAACCACATAAAATCAATGTTAAGTAAATAGCTGATTTTAAAATTTTTAAATTTGTTTATGTAGAATCAAATGTTTAAGAAAAAGTATGACAATGATATTTGATAAGAAAATACATGGCTCGGAACATTTGGTTTGGTCCTTGATCACATTTTTCTGACAGTGTATTCGAAAAGCTGCACAAACCCCAGTCGCAGTTGCCTCACCCTACTGGGCTATTGTTCGAGCTGTAGCTCGACTGAATCAGATGTGACTCGAGGCAAGGGAACCTGGCTATATCGTAGGACTCGGAATTGCGGGGCGGCGAATCACTTACCTCGATTTGAAATGGCGGCCTCGACGGCGAACCCGCCGCTTCCGGCGTGCGCGTGCAGCAGCCATCCGAGGCTAATTACAATCAGAATGGGGCAATTCATTTTGAGCGGAGCGCGGTTGCGTCGCTGGCTGCTTTTCCTAATGCCGGGGGCGGAGGGCGGGGCCAAGGCGCCTGTACGTATGCTACGCGAAATTATTTTCATTGTTCCGCGCTCGGCGCGTATGATGTGGAGCTACTGAGTTCCGGAGTTCTTCTCCTTTTTTTTAGCTTTGTTATTAAATTTACTGGAGTTGCAGACTGACTTTTTTTGTTCGCTTTAAGTTTTCATTTGGTTAAGCGTCCACATACTTTGCATAGTCGCTTTGCCGCTTTGTTTAATTTCCAGTTTTCCAGTTTATTTTCGGAGTTTTTTTTTCGCGTGCCACAGCTCTCTAATTAGAAATTGAGCGAGGGACCGCAAGCTCTTATGTATAGCGCACTTTTGTGCGCTTTCCCTTGACAAATTGCGGCTGTGTGATGTGAAATATTTCCTAATTAATTTTTATTGCACAGCTCTTTGTTGTTGTGACGGCCAACTAATTATCATTGTTTGTCTGCCGCTGCCCCCAAATAAATTGTATATGGATTGTTTTCCAGGGAATCTGCAATGGAAATGGGAAATAAAAATAAATTATTATTATATTTCAGTTGCAGCATGACAGATGCAGGGGAAAAAGTTTTCCTACCACAGGCAAAACTAGAAAACGAACTCCTCTTGGCCTTTTGCGATCTTTAAACTAAACTCCGCTTCAACTTTGGGCCACAAGCTCTCAAGTGCAGTGCTCAGGAATGTTTTGGTGCTCAAAGCAAACATTAAAGCATATATCCTGTTCTCGATGTGAGCACTCGCATGCGCTCCATAAGCCCACACACATGCACCAAAACGCGTCTGCAAAACTTCACTGACACGCAAAATTACCCCACAAAGTGCAATTAGCACACAAGTTAAATTATAAAAGTTCCGTTTTTTAACCTTTTTCCCTCAGCCCTTTACCCACACACATGCACACATGGAAATTTCGACAAAAGGGGGAAAATAGAAGAGAATGGAGAATGGCGAGCCGGGTAAACAACACTTCAAGAGCAAAGTCCAAAGCCAAATAACAAATTGTTCCTAGGGCGGCGAAACCCTTTACCATCACCCCACCCCCTTGTGCCATATTTAATGACAAAGTTTTGCATAATTTTATGAGTTTGCTGCGTTATCCTAGCCACACACACACATACACATATATGAGCTTGGGTAAGCCGAAGAAAAATCAGCAAACTGAAAAGTTCAAATTATTTCATTATCGCTTCCGTGCAGAACAAACTATGGCAAAAAAAAGAGAAACATAAAGAAAAAATGTGCTCAAAACCCATAAAAACAAACTGTGGCCCAGCAGCAGGATGTCGTGGTCAGTGGAATGGGTCGCGATGCTCGTGAAAAAATTAAGTTATAAATTTAGATTAACCCCATGCAGCCGATGGCGGCGAGTCACTTTCACTGGGAAGCCGCTTGAAAAGTCCATTAAAAGTCACAGGGCAGCGCGGTCCATAATTATCTATCGTTTTCATTATTACCCTGGGCATCCAGTGGCGCAGTACCAAGTATACGCTACGTGGTGCGCTTATGTGCGGCTCATGTCCTCGAGGAGCAATAAAATATTTCTATCTATCCCGGGCCAAGTCGCTGGCAAAGTAGGTCGCGTAGGTGGCGGAGCTACAAATCTGCGCCGGCCATATAATTACTCAAAAAGATACCTCTCGCCGGGAGATCCCTGGAATGGGATAGCCCAGGATAGCCCGCCTTTTATGCGCGATGATGCCAGCAAAAGGCTTTTATCATGTAGGCGGTAAATAGCCGTAAATAAACAGGACGGCGCATAAAACGGCAACAAAAGCCAGCTCCCAGGTTGCCGCTGTTGTCATCGCCACCAGTGGAAGAGCATTAGCCGGAGAAGAATGGCACTTCCAGAAAAATCCACGCTAAATCCAAGTTCAATCGCCGAAAGCAACCAGAAAATATTACATAAATTTAAATAAATTTTGAATTTAAATTGCCAAATATATTTGAATTATAACTTATAAACCAAATTTAAGGTCTCTTTTATTTTTTTGTACGCAATTTATCTAAACGCCATTTTCTAGATGTGTTCTAAAAACGAATTAATTCAGTCGTGTTAATTGAAATAGATTTAAAAATCTGTTTAGAAATATGCAAATTTGCTCGTACTGTTCCTTTTTTAAACCATTTTATACTCCACTGTGAATTTGCATAAGAAAATAAAAAATCTAAATAATTGGATTGCAAAAAATTAAAAAAAAGGACGTTGTGTAGATAATTTTTTAACTTGATTTATGTGTTAATCACACATTTCTATTTGTAAGATTATTTTTAAAAGGGACACTATTTTGTTTTAGAAATTTGATTGTAAAAGCTTTTCAAAGGACTTGATTTGAGTGTTTTCCCAGTGCAGCTGTTGTTGTTATCCACTGTTGTGGAGGGCCAAGGTTATCGGTTTTATGGGGCTTTGGCCTACAGATTTTTATATGTGAGCCACATGCTGTGCGCTGCTGCCTTTATTTATGACACGGCCAACACAGCATCGCAGGTCGGCTACAAATTTCTGAAGTCCTGCAATTTGATCTCGATGTTTCGGTTGGTCAGAGCAGAGAGGTCTGGCTAAATGTTTTAACATTTTATCGGGCTCTTTGTTCGGCCGCTGCGGTTAGTGCGGTCGCCTGGTAGCCGCCGTAAAAGTTTAATATTCTAATAAAGCGGATTTAATTATTTAAAAACAACATTGCCACGTCCGAACGCCGACGGTTTTTAATTTTTACGCGCTCTGTTTCGCGCCCTGTCGCAACGCAACTTGAGTCGACCTTCGCCTCCTGCTGATGCCTCGACTTTCGTCTAAATTGCACTTTGCGGTACAATTTCCAGCTGCAACTTTGCCAGAGCAAGTCGTAATTAGTTTTTGCTGGTTTGCTGTGAAACTGATTTTCACTTGACGGGCGGCAAAAGGGGTGTATGGTGTAGAGAAACGGAATCCGAGGGAAAAGAAATAGCTGCGTCTTTTGTCAGCCCGGGGTTTTAGCCGCCCCGACCCGCCCTCTTGTGGTTGACTGGCGTAACTTTAAAATGGGTTAATTGCATTGTAAACTAAACGAACAAATGGCAAACAAGTGGCACAAGAGGGCAACAAGACAGTCGAGGAGCAGCAACAAACACCAACGAGACCAGCATTCTGCTGCAGATTCGATTTGAGCTTTGGCTTATTTATAAATCTGCAATTTCACCCTCTCGCTGTGCTTCTCATTCTTTTGCAAGTTTTGCTTGGCAACCGACGAGAGCATCATTAAAACAAGTAAGTAGGGATAAATTGCAGTGCCTCGACTTTAAAATTCTTCGTAAGCATTTCATCATAATTTCATAAAGCCTGCTTGTTGCATTTCAAGAACCTGCCATCCCCAAAGTTTCTTGGAACATCTTAATATTTATCTTCAATAAAAAGTATCTCTTTGCGGATCTAACATTTCTATGTTCACTTTTCTAAGAATTACTTCAGTCTATCAAGACAAGTTTGAAAAGCTCCCTAAGAACTGCACGATTCCAGGGTATAATTAGCCAAATGGAAGAACCAGTAAGCTTGGCAGAAAACACAGCTAGCAAAACTCATTTCAAATAGCAGCATCTTCCGAGGCGTGTAATCAAAGGGGAAAATATAGAGAAAATATATAATAGAAACGCACATGCCCCAATCCTTTTTCTCTGTAAATTTTCATCTGGCGGCCGTTGGCAGTGAATTATTTGCAATTCTGCGAGAATGACGTCGACAGGGACCATGTTCGCCACATTGTCATCCAAATGATTAACAAGGCGGACCACAATGTTGCCAACTTGGCGCACAAAGGCGGCCAGAAAAAAAATATAGAAAAATCCAAAACCCTTCACACACGCACACACAAAAGCCGCTGCGTGCAAAGTTCAAGCCGAACACTTGCCACAAACTCAGGCGGATTGACACGGCAACAATGTAGCAAGACGAGAAGATGGTAGTGGTAGAACCTCACGCACGGGGATCCCCAACTAATATGCAGTTGACAAGTTTTAATGAAAAAAGACGAAAAAAATATATAGGGAAGACGAACGACCGGATAAAAGTAAGGAAAGATGTAGATTCAGCCCGCTCGATAAAAGATTATTAAAATTTTCCAAACGAATGGCAAAAGTTCGCTGCAGCAGTTTGTCAAAGGTTCAAAAGGTTATCTGCAACACACACACATAGGTACACGCTCTCATGCTCGGAAAAGCGTTGGAAACTCACTCACTTGACGGCCCCTTAGTTCACGTGTGCGCGGGTCTACAAAGTTGACAGACATTTTCCACAAGCAAAAGTCAAGCACCCATCTAGTACTCGACTTGCATGCGAACATCCCATACACAGATAGGGTCAATAAAATGGGACTTAGGTTGACAGTCTTCCACTAAAGTTTAAGAACGAAACATATAATTCAAGCCGCTAACTAACTTATAAATTAATCCAAATAAATTTTAAGACATCTTGTTACGTTCTAATCTCACATGCATGTGTTAACAAGAAAAACCACGAATTGTTGAGGCACCTCGTATTCCCAGTGCTACAATGTTGACCGCAACTGTAGCTCCACTCCAAGCAAATGCTTTAAATTGTACGTTATCTCGGCGCAAGCAGTGCAAATTAAATTCTGGGCTCACTGGACAGCGGAGGTACCATGAATGCCCTTACATGAAATATGAAAGTAATCTCCGCATATATTAAGGCATTTGACGGCTGCTTTAATATGCAGCCACCCGGCAAAAGCTGGTATCTCGGCTTCGGCTCCTGGGCCCTTGATACTTTGCATTTTTGCTGAGGCAAACATAATTCGTCTATTATGCAGGCTGCCACAGAACAGGACGAACACACACACATGGGATCCGATGGAGAGGACTGGGGGTATGGACTTGCAGCTGGAGTTCATAGATCCTGACTGCCGCTGTATTCACTTGGCAATTACTGCTTTATTTATTATGCCGAAATGGATTATCCCTTGCAGTGCCCGGGGATGCAATTTCAGCTTGTTCTGCTATTTTGTGCCGTCAACATTTTTTCCACTCCCCTTTCTATGCTGCAAATTTTCCGAAGCACTTGTGTTGTCTACCGCTCCCGATGGAAAATATTTGCATGGAAGAATTCTATGGCAACAAGGCCTACGGCTACATCTCCATGAGTGCCTGCCTGTCATTCATGTATCTAATCCAGTGACTGCTGAGCGCTTTAAAGCGAAAATACTCCGTATAAATAGTTTTTAGAGCATACAATAGAATTAAACAAAAATAAGCCTTTGAAATGCCATTAAACGCGAAAACTTTGAACGCATTTTTAAATGCAAATTCCTAGAGCCACATTGTTCCAGCGCTGTGCTTACAACTGTCGGACAACGTGGCCCCTGGCGCACGGCGACATTTGTAACAAATTCGATGCACACGAAATCCATAAATCAAATCAATAAAATGACAGCATGAAAAATTGCCAATACAAAAAACCGCAGGCCAAACCATTATTTCGGAGTCAAAAAATCGACAGCGAGAGGCAAA